GGTGATGTTCCTCAGTAGGATCGTGTACGCCATCATTGACTGATAGGTGTACTGCTGCTTCTCGTACTGTGTGCCGTTTGTTGGGTATGGCAGAGACCCGTCGAAGAACCCGAGTATCTGCACGCCTTCCATCATCAGCTCAAACTCGAACGACCAGGTGAATAAGTCCTTTCCATCAAAGGGTTTTGACGTCTGCATCTTCAGAACGTGTGCGAACTGCGACTGAACTTGTAATGCGTCCAGTGGTTTTTCTTGTCCAGGTGAGGGCTGTGGGTGTGGCATAAAGCTGATGGACCCACGCTCGTACGGAGCAAATGTAGGCTGCTGTTGCTGATTTCCTCGTGCATATGATGAGCCGTCGAGACTCATGGGTGTTGCTCCGTTGTTGTTGCTGTTGTGTGACTGCGCAGGTGCCGATTGCTGGTGTTGCTCGTAGAAGGACATGAAGGAGAAAAACTTCTCCATCATGCTCTGGTCGAAGTCTGCAGGTTGATTCGCGGGAGTCTCAGTAGATGTTGCTCTGGGTCTTGTTGCCGTGCCCTCCTCTGTCTGTAGGCCAGAGGCAGGAGGTGGAGTAGGAGTAGTGCCCTGGGAGCCGTTAGAGTTGCTCCTTTCCTTTTGTGTAGCCATGCTGATAGATACTGTTGGTATAGAAGTTGAATTCCCCCTGATAGCTCTCATACCATGTTGGGCTGAAAAAGCCCTTAGGATCTTAGCAGGGGTGAACTCTGGGTAGAGTTGGTGTAGTAGCGGAAGCGTTAATAAAGAGTTTTGAACCACCTTGCGCTAGTATGTGAGGGCAAAGTAAGTTGATTAAAGCAAAGAGATACAAGATTATATAAGAGTACAAGGAATACGAAGAGATACGGTTGCAACTACTTTTATTGTTGCTGTTGCGGTTCGATACAGTGACGACTCGGGCAACTGCTCCGTAGCGAGTCAGCTGTGTGTCCTTGCTGTCGCGCTGTACTTGTCAGGTCAAAGGTCGCTGACCTTTGACTTTCGCGTAACCTCCAGCACTTACTTCAACCTCCGAGGGTTGACTCGCCGGTGCCTCGGTATGCTTCGCTTCGCTTGTGCCTTAGTGTTTCAACATGACAGAGACGCTTAGGACCGATTGTTTCCAACACTGTTATTGTGCCAGGCGATTGGAAAGACCGAAATAGTGACTCGGACCTGAAAATTCAGCATGCAGCCTTTGGCTGTGTCAACCTGGCTTAGGCTGGGGATGAACCTGAAAGTGGTGAGCAACACACTGAAGACTGTTGCTTTTTTCTGTAGGCGTGTCGATGCGCATCGAATGACATGAAGACCCCTGCAGAGCAGGATGAACTGTACTGCTGATCACAGTGTTAGTCTGCTGCACTGGCTCATCTGGTACACCTCAGCTAATTGCTTGATGGCTTTCGACTTGACTAAAGAATCAACCATTGGATGAAATGTTCATATATGCCAGCAAAGCCGACAGGTGGCACACCTCTGTGAATTGCTTGATTGCGCGATCAAACTGGCAGCCCTGGAAGAGGGTACAATGGAGAGGCGTGGCGGGAGGGAGACAGGGCATCAAGATAAGGGAGGGAGATGCTGACATGGGGAAGGAAGAGACATGCGGAAACGGGTACACCTCCCTTTTAAATTCCTCAGACCTCCCATCACTGCCACGCATCTCATACCTCACCTCCCAGTAGAGGTGGTGGCACTGGCAGCACTGTCAGAACTCCTCCACTCGATCCAACACAAGGCTGGACACCACCTGATACCATAACACCACCTATGCTGACATTTGAGATGTTTCGAAAGGCTTACACACATTTAAGGGCCCACCTCCCAGTACAGGTGCTGGCACTGGCAACACTGCCAGAACTCCTCCACTTGAGCCAAGACATGACCCGGCACAATCTGTGTCCATGGCGCTGCTGCTGCTGCCTCTGAGATGTTTCAAAAGTTTCTCAAGCATGTCAGGGCTCACCTCCCAGTACAGGTGGTGGCACTGGCAGCACTGCCAGAACTCCTCCACCCTCGCCAACACGTGACTCGGCACCACCTGAGTCCACGGCGCCGCCGCTGCTGCCTCCGAGGGCCCCAGCGCCTGCGGCTTTAAGGTGCCGTTGCAGCGGATGCAGCGCGAGAGCAGCGAGGACTCGAACAGGAGCAGGCGGAACGCGGTTACCACCTCACGGAGTTGCTCGCGCTTGTCGGTGCTTTTAATGAGGTGCATGTGGCTGGGCGGCAGCAGGCGGCGCCGGAAGAGCTTCACGCCCCTCGTTAGAAGCACACGGCCCTCCCTCTCCCGCCACTCTATCAGGTTCTTGTGGAAGGGTGAGGAAGCAGGGTGGGCAGGGTAGGAACAGAGGCAGCACAAGCTCATTTGGCATGATACAATCGCAATAGGAATCCCTTCTTGTCAAACTTCGCGTGCCCAATCTACCCGACCATCATCCAAGCTCAACCATACCATACCTGGTGTCACACGTGCCTCGGCCGAGAGTCTTGGGAGAGGCGGTGTCAACGCCCACACAGCGCAGCTGCCGTGCCAGCCCCTCCACCATGGAATCACACAGGAACCGCGCCTGCCCATCCCCTCCCCGCGACTCATCCCACGGCGGCACCGATCCGCTCCCATGCATGTCGTTTTGGCGCACTGCATGCCATGGTGACACCAGTCCGTTGTGTGGCCTGTCAGCACGAGCATCCCCTGAGGGCATTGCATCATTTGAGCATGCCTCATTGCGGCATCATTCAGACTCGCACGCTACAGCCCTGCCTGCTGTTTCTCCTCCTGTCCCTCGCCCTGACTCCCGCCTCCCCCTCCTTGGTCCCCCCCTGCCGCCTCCTCCCCGTCCTCTCTCATCCTGCTCTCTCGTGCCTGTCTCCTCCCTTTCCTTGAGTTCAACCGCTTCCCTGAGCCACCCCTCCCCTTCCCTGCTCCCCCTTGGCCTGAACTCGCCCTCCCGCTGCCGCTAGTGATGCTGTTGCTGCCAGCGCCAGTGCTGGTGCTGTTGCTTGTGCAAGTGCCGTCCGTGCTCGTTCCAAGAGACCGCACCTTGCCAGTGATGTGGCATAGAGAGAGCGTGTGAGAGTGTTCCTCTATGAGTGCAGACAGGGCAGCTACGAGAGTGGTGTTGGTGGTGGTGGTGGGAATGGTTGCGTCGAGGGGCGAGGGTGCATTGTTACTGTTTTGATGCTGCTGATGCTGATAATGATGATGCTGATGATGCTGCTGCTGCTGATATTGTTGCTGCTGCTGCAGGGTGTGCATGAATGTGTGGTGTGACTGTAAGGATGGTTGTACTGGTGGGAGTGCAGGCGTGACTGTACATGCAGTTATCAAAACAGATGCAGGCGGGAAGCGCTGATGAACAACACAAGGGGATGCTGACGAGGATGCTGACGAGGATGATGCTGACTGGGATGGTGACGGGGATGGGCCTGCATCCACTGCTGCTAGTCCAAGCTGCCCCTTTCCATACACAGACAGAGCATGTGGGGAGACAGCGTGAGGGCATAGTGCATGAGCAGAGAGGGCGTGGGGGCGCAGGGCGAGGGGGAGCAGGGCGAGCGCCATATGAATGAGACAGAGAGTGGGAGGATCGGGTCCAAGGGTGAAGACGCTGACGGTTGTGATTGGATCTGGGACAAAATGTCCTGATGCCTCGTGTGGTGTCACGAATTCGAATTACTGCTGCTGCGTTGCTGGAGGGGATGTCGGCGACGATTGCATCTGCGACAGCCGTGAATGCGACGGTTGGGCCTGCGACTGGAACTGGGGACGCTTCTCCTCCAAAAGCTGGTCGTCGCGCAACACGCCGCGGTGGAGGTTCTGAGCCACGTGGCGTGAGGGGATTCGCGGAAGCGAGTGGGAGTTGAAAAACGCGACTAAACACCATGAGCAGACGAAGCGGATATGTGCAATGCCTTAAGTGCCACTTAGTGTCAATGACACAGTGAAAACAGTGCTGAGAGAATATAACCGTGACTGAATGATGGAGGAAGACAAAAATATAGGCAATGAGAAGAGGTAGCACACCTCTCGCTCCTTCACTTGCAACTGGTGCACGTATGCGACGCCAGCGACAGTCGCGAGGACCGTTACACCTAGAAGCACCTTTGCACGTCTACTGGACATGTCGCAGACAATGCCTTGGAGCAGCAAGGATCTGAACGGGAAACGACAGTATATAGGGTAAGGAGCGCAGGAAGCTGGTTGCGTGTGAAGTGCGACAAGCTTGAAGCGCGAGCAGGCAAAGACAGCAACCTTGGGATTCCCGAAACTGTGGGGGCAAGAGCAGAAGAGTGCTGGAGTGGAAGTCGCAGGGAATTCGTACGCCCTGGATGCGGAGATGGAGTCCTTGACTCGTTATAGGCGCTCGCAGTACCACCACGAGCTTTCTTCATAGCCTAGTGCAGAAGCACTTTGTGTTCATTTTGAAAGCTAACCCAACCCATTTCAACCGAAGCAGCAAACAAGCACAGCCCTCGCTTGATCATTTCCCCCTTCATGCCAAATTTCCCAAGCTCGAACTTACGTACTCGGCGTGGACGAAGCAAAATGCAGCGCAGCAATCGACGCGTAGAAATGCGAGTTCTTGTCCCAGCGGCGATCGCAGCCGTCTGTCTCCCGTGGGGTATCCTCGTTACCCGCTCATACCTAGCTGTCTCCCGTCTTCACTCCCTCTCCTACCTCCCACATGTGCACCTACAAAGCAGTTTCGGTAATATCATACCGTAATGTCCGCATGTAATGCACATAGAATGTAATGCCTAGAAAGGAATGCAAGCTCTATGATAGCAGCTATTTGTTTGACACTGTCGCTAGCTTTTTCGTCCAGAGAGCACATTCTGGGCTAGGCAAATTATTACCTGCCGAGAGTGAGACCGTCAATACTGCGTACGGCAAATTCTGGGTTTCCAATGCCACCAAGGACCTACCATAAATTTCGCGCCATTTTAGTCACAGGCGCACAGACCATCATCCCCCGCGTACTTGACACGTCATCGCCATGGCGGACGAGGCAGAGCGCGCCAAGCCGAAGCCGTTCAAGGTGGAGTACGCCAAGTCGGCGCGCGCGAGCTGCCGGAAGTGCAAAGAGAGCATCGCCAAGGACGCCTTCCGCATCGCCAAAGTCGTCGAGTCCAAACAGTTCGACGGCTTCATGACGGTAATGCGCTCATGGTGGCTTCGGATTTCATTATGGATACATCTCGCATTGCGTCACTTTCGATGGCTCTAATGACTCTGAAATTCATGGCGTTATTCCTCTCTGGTTAGTGTCCTGTGATTGAAGGCATTACAGTCATGCACGCGCCGTTCCGCCTCCCCTGCATCTCCCTCCATTCTCACTCTCCGCTCTCAACCTTATTCCGCTCCCTCTTCTCAATTTGCATCTCATCCTCCCTTTTTCCGTATTGCGCCTTCTACTTCTCATTCCGCCCATGCCTCTCCCATCCCCCCTTCTCCGCCACCATGTGCGCGGAGCAGTTGTGGTTCCACGCGAGCTGCATCTTCAAGGCGCCGGGATTCATCACCAAGTCAGTGCCCCCCTGCCCCTCCTGCCACCAATGCTCCCCTGCTCCCCTGCTCCCATGCTCGTCTGCTCGTCTGCTCCTATCCCCTTTACCGCCTCTGTCTCTGCCCCTTCCGCACGGTTCTCCCTAGCACCGTCGCCTCTCAACGCCACGACGTATCCCCTCCCGTCTCCCCCTGCCAGCGTGGGCGACGTGGAGGGCGCGGACGTGCTGCGCTGGGAGGACCAGCAGGCGCTCCGGGCGTACGCCAAGGGGGAGGGGGGCGCGCAGGGCGCGCAGGGCGCGGGGGGCGAGGGGAAAGCGGAGAAAGCAGGGAAAGCAGGCAAAGGGGGAAAGGGGAAGGCTGCTGCGGCTGCGGGGGCGAAGAGTGACGGGGGGAAGAGCGAAGGGAAAAGCAAGGGGAAAAGGGGGAAGGCAGTGGCGGATGATTCAGGTTCGGAGGGGGAAGGAGCAGCGGCGGGGACGGTGGCTGGCTTTCAGGTGGCGTATGCTGCAAGCAACCGGTCGGCGTGTCGGCACTGCAATGAGAAGATCGCCAAGGGCGAGGTCAGCCGCTGCTGCCCCCTTCCAATGCTCCGCCCTGAATGCCCTCCCTGCCCTGCTCCCCATGCCATTATTCCCTGCAACCCTTCTGATCCCATTTGCGTTATGAATCAAACCATGTTTGTCCACCCCAGTCCATCCATACACTGACCCTAAACCACCTGTCCTACACGTGAGCATCAGTAGAGAGGGGGGCGCATGGAGGGCGCATGGAGCCTAGTTGGTGTCTGAGAATGGAAAAATTAACGTGCCACTCCGTGCTGCCACTGCGTGCACCTGTCCTCTGCCACTGCGTGCACCTGTCCTCTGCCACTGCGTGCACCTGTCCTCTGCCACTGCGTGCACCTGTCCTCTGCCACCCGTGAACCGCAGCTGCGAGTGGCGCGCATGGAGGCGTCGAGTCGCGGCATGGAGGTGCCGGCATGGCGCCACGCGGCGTGTGTGGGGGACGAGGGCATCTGGCCCCAAGGGGCGCGCGTGCAGGCCGTGCAGGGGTGGGGCGAGCTTCAAAAGGAGGATCAGCAGCGCCTGCTGCAGCTGCTGGGAGGGGGTGCTGAGGGGAAGAGCACGGGGGGAGGTGAGTGTACGGTGTGTGGGTGGGAGGCATTGGATGGGCATTTGTTGCCTAGTTGTACCTGCTTGTGCCGTTTCTGTGTCTATATGCTCCTATCTGATCGACACCCTCTCCTCCTCCACCATCCCACCATGACCCTTCAGAGCCCCCCAAGAAGCGGCAGCGAGGGGCGGAGCAGGACGGAGGAGGCGAGGAAGGCAGCAAGCGCAAGGGCAAGGGGAAAGAGGACGCCAAGCCACAGGACGCAGGGAAGGGCGAGGAGGGGAAGATGAGCTTGGAGCTAGAGCGGGCGTTGGAGCAGCAGGCTCGGCGGGTGTGGGAGGTGAAGGACCAGCTGCGCGCCCACCTGACTGTAGTAGACATGCGCGCCATGCTGGAGGCCAATCAGCAGGAGCCAGGTGGCAGCGAGGATGCCCTGAGGGAGCGGTGTGCGGACGGCATGCTGTTTGGCCCCCTGCCGCCCTGCCAGCTGTGCGCGTCCCCCATGGAGTACTGGGACGGGCGGTACCGCTGCCGCGGGTTCCTCTCCGCTTGGTCTGCTTGCACCTTCTCCACTCGCGACGTGCAGCGCAAGGAAGCTGCCTGGGTGCTTCCTGATGAGATTACCAACCCGTTTGTTGATGTGAGTAGACGGGTGGGTCAGCAGTGGTTGATGAACCTTATGCGTTTGAAATTCTGGCTTGTTTTCTTCGCTCCTGCGCTCACTGCGTTCTTCCCTACGCATTCCACTGCTGCCAGGAGTACCGGGCAGAACAGCAGCGGCGGTTCAAAGCAGCCGACAAGGGCAAGGGCAAGGGGCGGGGCAAGGGGAAAGGCAAGGGGAAGGCGGAGGGGAGCGAGGCGGGGGAGGAGGGGGCGAGTGTGTGGCCGCAGCGGGTGCTGCCCCCAGAGGAGAAGCGCAGCGAGGTGAAGCAGGCGAGCACGGCAGGGGCAGGCAGGAAGGAAGCGAGCCGGGGGAAGGGCGGTAGAGCAGCGAGGGAGGCGCGGGAGGCAGCGATACCGGATGGGGGAGTGGAGCGTGAGAAGCCGCTGGAGGGGGTGCATGTGGCGCTGGTGGGGCGCCTATCCCGCACCCAGGTGGCGTGGCGCAAGGAGATTGAGGAGGGTGGTGGTGCTGTGGTGCCGTTGACGAGCGCGGGTGAGTGAGTGTGCTGGCAAGCTGTTCTTGCGTGTGGAGTTGTTTCGTGAGGTTTGCTGCCCACAGAAGCATCGCGCTGATTTGATTCACATTGCTCTTTCTGTCGGGGTTTCCTGCCGTGACAGTGCTTCCATTCCATCATCGCTCCACCATCCGCCGTGCTTTCCTTGCCTTCCCCTCATTCCCGTTTGTTTCTCTCCTGCTGCTCCCCTGCGCCACTTGCCCCCTGCGCCCGGCATGCACCAGACGTGGACTGCATTGTGTCTACTGAGGCAGACGTGGAGAAGAATGAGGACAAGCTCCTGCCGCCCCTGTATGTCCACCACCTCTCCCCCTCCTCAACCCCACTTTCTCCACTGCTCCCACTGCCCCTGCCAACGATCTTTCAGATTCTCAACACTAAGTTGCTGTACCTGGTTCCACCTCTTCACCTCTTCTGTCTTTCCGTCCCTGCTACCACCCCATCCCTTCCCTACCATCCGTCCCTTGCCTTGCCTTAAACTCAACCCCATTCACCATTCCCCTCTCTCCTCTCCCGCCACCCTCCTTCGCATCAATCCCACATGATCGGTTATCCCACATGATCGGTTATCCCACATGATCGGTTATCCCACATGATCGGTTATCCCACATGATCGGTTATCCCACTTGATCGGTTATCCCACGTGCCCTCCATCGCCGCCCCTCCCGCACCCCAGCGTCCTGGGAGCGTCGGTGGTCTCAGAGGACTATCTGCTCGAATCGCTCGCGCAGAAGCGCCGCCTGCCCATGCGCGCGTACCTGCTGCCCCTCTCGCTGCAGCTGGTGCAGGACGTGGACGCCAATCGCCCTGCCGGGAAGCAGAGCAGGGCTGGGGGGAAGGGCAAGGGCAGGGCGGGCGAGGGGGAGGAGCAGGTGCGGGCGACGGTGCGAGTGAAGGGGCGCGCGGCGGTGCATGAGGCGTCGGGGCTGGCGGAGAGGGGCCACGTGCTGGAGTGCCAGGGGTGCGTGTGGAGCACCACTCTCTCCCTCGCTGACCTCTCCACCGGCGCCAACAGGTGTGCCTCCTCCTTCCCTCCCCCCCACCAGTGCATGCTGTTCCCACTGCACCTACTGCATCCAGCATCCACTAACCCCTCCTCTTCCTCCCCCCCTCCCCCTCACGGCTACCTCTCTCGCAACGTCTCCGCTTCCCCCTCGTGCAGATCACACACCAATGCTTCTCTTCTGTCACGCATTGCACACTCTGCTTCTCTCCCGTGCCCTCTCCTGCCCCCTCGTGCAGCTACTACATCCTGCAGGTGATAGAGGACGACAAGTCATCCAGGTGCCACGTGTTCCGCAAGTGGGGGCGTGTGGGCAACGAGGCCATCGGGGGCAGCAAGCTGGAGCAGGAGAGTCGCGAGCAGGCAATGGGGTTGTTCAAGCGGCTGTTCAAGGAGAAGACAGGCAACGACTGGGAGGCTTGGCAGAAGAAAGAAGGCTTTGAGAAGCAACCGGGGAAGTTCTACCCTCTTGAGATTGTGAGTGGCTTATGACACCTGTCCAGCCACTGCCAAAGCGGTACTTCTAGCTGCAGCAGCAGGGCGACCAGCTGCCATCCTGTTGCAACGCCGGCCTCTTCATATGTGGGCAAATCACCGGTTTAGGGTTCAGAGTTGTGGGGTTAGCAAAGGAACGGCAGCACAAAAGCGTTCGGCTACAGTGCGCTTGTTCTCATCTCCTCTTCCCTTGGCTCGCAGGACTATGGAGGAGGGGACGAGGAGGAGGAGCAGGGCGGGGCCGTGATGGGCACAAGGAGCAAGCTGGATGGCCGGCTGGTGGCGCTGCTCATGATGATCTTCGACCTCAAGTCCATCAGGTGCTTTCTCGGGATGATTCTCGTGAGGTTCTTGTTCAACTGCCAGTGCCACGTTCCCTCGTCTCGCTCACCCTTTACCCCTTGCCTCTGCCTATGCCCCTGCCACTCATCCCCTCTATTCTCTACATTTCCGTAAAATCCCCCACCACCCCTTGCCCCTCCATACCACGTCCCATCATGGCTGGCAGGGAGGCGATGGTGGAGTTTGAGATCAACGTGAGGGAGATGCCGCTGGGCAAGCTCACCAAGCGCCACATAGAGCGCGGCTTTCAGGTGCTCACGGACGTGCAGGCCGCCCTGCAGCTGCCGCCCGACAGCACGGGGCGGAGGGAGAGCGCCATCGTGGACGCGTCGAACCGCTTCTTCACTCTCATCCCCACCGTCAACCCTGCTGCCATCCGCACACTCGAGGCGCTCACCACCAAGGTGCGTGTGTGTGTGGGATCCGTACCTGCTGCTGCTGTGATTGCACTGTGTCGTGCCTCGGTAAAGCACGCTGCTCATACTGAGTATGCCTGTGTCCTGCTGTGCTGTGTATGCTGCGCCGTGTGAGCCCTGCCGTGTGTGCCGTGCCATGTGTGCCATGTGTGCCATGTGTGCCATGGATGCCATGTGTGCCATGGATGCCATGCAGATTCGCATGCTGGAAGCACTGAGGGACATGGAGGTGACGTCCACGCTGCTGAGTGCGAGCAAGGGGGCGGGCGAGGGCGAGGGGGGGGAGAAGGAGGACCCGGTGGACCGCCACTACCGCCAGCTACAGTGCGGCCTGTCGCCCCTGGAGCCCAGCGATGCTGATTACTCCCTCGTTAAGGACTACCTGCACAAGACGCATGCGCCCACTCACAAGGTGCCTCCTAGGCTCGCAAGGGGCCTCCTCCTCCTAGGCTCGCAAGGGGCCCCCTAGGCTCGCAAGGGGCCCCCTAGGCTCGCAAGGGGTCCCCTAGGCGGACACACACACAGGGCCATGCATGCACACGCTCTGCTTCATAACACATCACTCCGTGGCTCTTTGTCCCTCCTATGTTCTCTCCTATGTGCCTCATGCCATCCCCATGCCCCGTGTACCACATGGGCCGTGGGTGCCGTGCTATGATCGTGTGCATGGGCAGGAGTGGGAGTTGGAGCTGCTGGACGTGTTCCGTGTGGATCGCAGTGGGGAGAAGCAGGCCTTCCGTGCCGACATCAAGAACCACATGCTGCTGTGGCACGGTATGCTCACATGCTGCTGTGGCACGGTATGCTCACATGCTGCTGTGGCACGGTATGCTCACATGCTGCTGTGGCACGGTATGCTCACATGCTGCTGTGGCACGGTATGCAGCATGCTGCTGTGGCACGGTATGCAGCATGCTGCTGTGGCACGGTATGCAGCATGCTGCTGTGGCACGGTATGCAGCATGCTGCTGTGGCACGGTATGCAGCATGCTGCTGTGGCACGGTATGCAGCATGCTGCTGTGGCACGGTATGCAGCATGCTGCTGTGGCACGGTATGCAGCATGCTGCTGTGGCACGGTATGCAGCATGCTGCTGTGGCACGGTATGCAGCATGCTGCTGTGGCACGGTATGCAGCATGCTGCTGTGGCACGGTATGCAGCATGCTGCTGTGGCACGGTATGCAGCATGCTGCTGTGGCACGGTATGCAGCATGCTGCTGTGGCACGGTATGCAGCATGCTGCTGTGGCACGGTATGCAGCATGCTGCTGTGGCACGGTATGCAGCATGCTGCTGTGGCACGGTATGCAGCATGCTGCTGTGGCACGGTATGCAGCATGCTGCTGTGGCACGGTATGCAGCATGCTGCTGTGGCACGGTATGCAGCATGCTGTTGTGGCACGGTATGCAGCATGCTGCTGTGGCACGGTATGCAGCATGCTGCTGTGGCACGGTATGCAGCATGCTGCTGTGGCACGGTATGCAGCATGCTGCTGTGGCACGGTATGCAGCATGCTGCTGTGGCACGGTATGCAGCATGCTGCTGTGGCACGGTATGCAGCATGCTGCTGTGGCACGGTATGCAGCATGCTGCTGTGGCACGGTATGCAGCATGCTGCTGTGGCACGGTATGCAGCATGCTGCTGTGGCACGGTATGCAGCATGCTGCTGTGGCACGGTATGCAGCATGCTGCTGTGGCACGGTATGCAGCATGCTGCTGTGGCACGGTATGCAGCATGCTGCTGTGGCACGGTATGCAGCATGCTGCTGTGGCACGGTATGCAGCATGCTGCTGTGGCACGGTATGCAGCATGCTGCTGTGGCACGGTATGCAGCATGCTCATATGGTTACATTCACAGTACGCATACTGTGCTTCATGGTTTGGTGTCTGTAATGTCATCATCTAATTTCCCCTGCACTGCCATCTCCCAACCTTTCCCTATGCAGGATCACGAGTGACCAACTATGTGGGCATCTTGAGTCAGGGCCTGCGCATCGCACCACCAGAGGCACCAGTTACCGGCTACATGGTATGCATAATGCATCCCTGCTGCATTTTAATGTGCCGCTCTGCTGCCACCATTCTTGCACTGTGTATTCCTTCTGCATGCCTCTGTCCCACCATCCCTATTCGTTCCAATGCACATGCTACTTCCTCCCCTCCTCCACGCCCCCCTCTCTCTGCGTGGCAGTTTGGCAAGGGAGTGTATTTCGCGGACCTGGTGAGCAAGAGCGCGCAGTACTGCTTCACCAGCCCCGACAGCAACATCGGCCTGCTGCTGCTCTCCCGTGTGGCGCTTGGTGCTCTCTATGAGCTCACGTCCGCCGAGGTCAGTCCCTCTTATTCACCCACTTACTGCTGCCCAGCTCAGCGTCGCTCTCGACTCATTGCCCTTTGAACCGGTGGTGCAAGCAACTTCTAACAAACTCCACTCAGCTTCTCCACTTTTCCCTCAAGCTTCCTTTGCCACCGCACTCACAGTCGCCTTGCTAGCCACATTTCCAGATCCCTTTCCTACTGGCACCCTGGTATTTCTCTCGACTCTCCTGCTGATGCTGCCTGCCCTGCCTCCCGTGCAGTATGTGGAGAAGCTGCCACGGGGAAAGCACGCAACCAAGGGGCTGGGGATGATGAAGCCCAAGGAGGCCGAGTTTGTCAAGTGGGCCTCCGATGTCGTCGTGCCCTGTGGCAAGCCCGTGCCTTCGGGGGTGAAGAACAGCCACCTGCGCTACAATGAGTTCATCGTCTACGATACATCACAGGTACGGTACTGAATATGTGGTCTTCACATGTTTTTTACGTTGTATGTCCGGCACTTTATGCAGTCGATGTGGTTTTAAACACATTTTCATTTGCTTCTGTTGAAAATGTTGCAGATTCAATTGGAGTTTCTCCTCAAAGTGAAGTTTATCCACAAATAATGATGTTGTTTGTTATGGCGTATTGGTTGGCCTTCGCATGGCCATTGAAAATGCATCAACGCTCACAAGTTTCACCACTGACTTGCCCTTCGCTAGGCATTCCTGTAAGTACTGCTTGGCTCTCTGAATTGTGATGGGTGGGAGCCAACATTCCGTATGCTGTAAACATTAATATATGTAGCAATTATTTGTTCATGGTATTGGGAGAACCTGGGAGCGACGCTATTGTTCGAGACGAAGCCCGAAAAGATGGATCTTCGGTATTCGTGAAGCACACTTGCAATCTGTGTCCCAAGCCTACCTTGTCATGCCTGTGACATCACAGAGCAAGGGTGGATGCCATGGCATGGCATCGCATGCCATGGATGGATCCATGGTAACGGAATAAGGGTGCCGGAGTCGCGTATTTTCGCCAAGTGTGACGAAACTGGTTGCGAAACATACCCCAATATTGCAGCACGATCTCTCAACCACGAATTCTTCCGCGCTCCGGAGTTCCCAAGAGAAGGCCCTTGGAGTTGTGGAGCAAAGATCATCAAATTCACCTTGCTTGCATCAGTTGGACCTCTTTTCTTTCCCCGCTGCGTCGAGCGCCACAACAGAGCCTCGCGTTGGCCTCTAAGATCGCGCGCGAGCCGACACCACCGCCTATCCCCGCGCACGAATTCACTCCTTTCTCCTCTGTTCCCGTTCCCAATTCTCGCCGCGATGGATCAGCTGGCGGCGGTGCTGCAGCAGCTGCTGCTGCCGGACAACGAGTCGCGCAAGGCGGCGGAGGCGGCGTTCAAGCAGCTCTCTAAGGACCCCGCCGTGCTGCTCGCGCTGCTGCACTTCCTCAAGGCGGGCCCCTCGCCCGACGTGCGCCAGCTCGCCGCCGTGCTCATGCGCAAGAAGGTCGCGGGGCTGTGGGCGCAGCAACCCGCCGAGGCCAAGGCCAGCATCAAATCCGCACTCCTCGAGAGCATCGCGCTCGAGCCCAGGTGGGGATCTCCTTCCGTCACCGTCCGGGCTCGAAGCCCGTTCCGTCGGCCTCCGGCATTGTCACCGTTTAGGCGCATGTGGTGTTACGAGTAGCGAACTCACGAGTAGGGCAAGGGGTGCGGCTCATGGTATCGATCTATCCAAAGCTTGCGCTCTAGGGATCGAGTTTCGGCGGTGCAGAACTGTGAAAGTGTGGGGCTTGATCGCACCCCTCATCTGGCAGATCACTGTCATGTCAGACCGTTCGTCAGATAATAGCGTCTCCCGCATTCCTCGCTTTGCCTCCTGACCGCGGATCCCCCGCTCCCTTGTCGTGCCCCGCCGTCATGCAGCCCTGTCGTGCGCCGCGCCAGTGCTGACGTGGCGAGCGTGATTGCGAAGCACAGCGTGCCTAACGGCGAGTGGCCGGAGCTGCTGCCGTTCCTGCTGCAGTGCTCGCAGGGGCAGCAGGAGGACCACCGCGAGGTGAGGCACCCCCGCACAATGCGCCGCGCCAATCACTGCGCTTCCGCCGCATCCAATCCACCCTCATCCGCTCCGCCACTGTGCACTTCACCTGCAAATTCCCCCTCCCCGGAACTCGTTCTCCGCGCCTCCCTCTCCCGCTCTCCCCCTCTCCGCTCCCCCCTCGCCCTCCCCCCTTCCGCAGCTGGCGTTCATTCTGTTCGCGGCGCTGGTGGAGACGATCGGCGACGTGCTGCGACCGCACTTCCCCGCGCTACACGGCATCTTCGTCGCGGGCCTGCGCGACCAGGCCAGCGCGCGAGTGCGCGTCGCCGCGCTCAAGTGAGTGCCCCGCTCGCACCCCTCGCGCTGCTGACCCGCCCGCACCGCCTGCGCCGCTGCTCCCCGCGCTTCATCCCCGCTGCTCGCACCGCCTGGTCGTCGCATAACACGCTCTCGCTTGTCGCTACTCCTCAACTGCTCTCCGCCCCTTCGCCTCAAATTCACACATATGCATCTTTCCTGTGGTGGGTGGGTGCGTGGGTGTGCGTGCGTGCGCAGGGCCGTGGCGGCGTTGGTGGAGTACCTTGACAGCGAGCAGGACGTGGTGAGTTCCGCGCACGCGCACAATGCGCGCACGTAGCGCATGGCATTGCGCTGATCCTGCCCCTCTCCCTTCGCCATCCCATGCACTCGGCCGCTCCTGCCCTTCTCCTTGCATTCGCTGATCCCCAATCCCCCCTCCTCTTCCTCACCTCGCCCCCCTCTCCCCCTTCGCCCCGCCCTTCCCTTCCCCCCGCCTAGACTCTGATGCGCGATCTGGTGGCGCCGATGCTGGACGTGGGGCGGTTCTCGGCGGGGAGCGGCGACGAGGCGACGGTGGTGCGCGTGTGCGAGGTGGTGACGGAGCTGGCGGAGCACCCCGCGCCCGTCATCGCGCCCTCGCTGCCCGCCGTCATCCAGTTCGCGCTCGAACTCGCTAGCAACACGCACCTCGAACCCGCCACGCGCTTCCAGGTGAGGCGCCACTGCTGCGCAGCGGCAGATGTGGCAGATGGTGGTAGAAGGGAATGTGAACGAGGTACGACACCAACACACACCAACATACAAGACACGCATTCCACATTCAATCATGGTGAATGCAAACTGACGCATTGTCCAACTCCCCGTGCTGTGTTGGTTTGGGTGGAGCAGGCAGCGCAGGTGGTGGCGTGGTGCGCGGCGTGGAAGGCCAAGTGGTTGGCGAAGCAGAAGCTGGTGCCCGTCATCCTCGCCGCCATGGCGCCGCTGCTCGCCGAGCCCTGTGGCGAGACGGACTCGGAGCAGGACGAGGAGTACGACCTCTCGCCCATGCGCTTTGCCGCCCAGGTGACCTCCTTTCCACGCCTCCTTGCCTAAGTCCCCACACATGGAAATCTTTTCCATTCCCACACCCGCAACCCAACTCCCCCCCAACCCCCCTCTCACCGCCCCTCATCCCGCTCTCACTGCCTTTCCCCGACGCCACCCGAAACCCCCCATCACCGTGCGTCTTCACCTTGAGAGGCCATAGACGCGATGGCAGTGAAGGCCCCTCGCACACCAGCACTTCTTCCCACTCCCACTCCACAACCCGCCACCCACCCTTTCTCATCCCCCTTCAATCTCTTCCCGTCCCCTCGCCGCCCTGTGTTTACTGCCCCCACAGGCCATAGACGCGGTGGCGATGGAGGCGCCGCGCAAGCATGTGTTCCCGCCTGTGCTGGCGTTCGCCCGCGCACACATCACGGACACCAACCCCCACATGCGCTACGCCGCTGTCATGGCCCTGGCTGTCATCACCGAGGGGTGCTGGTGAGTGCAGAGGGGTGCAGAGGGGTGTTGGTGAGTGCAGAGGGGTGGCGCAGCAGAGGGGTGTTGGTGAATGCAGAGGGGTGCAAATGGGTGCTGGTGAGTGCAGAGGGGTGTTGGTGAGTGCAGAGGGGTGCAAAAGGGTGCTGGTGAGTGCAGAGGGGTGCAAAAGGTGCTGGTGAGTGCAGGGGGGCGCTGGTGAGTGCAGAGGGGTGCTGGTGAGTGCAGGGGTGCACTGCAGGGGTGTTGGCTTGTCCTTGTGCGCCCCCTTACCCCTCCCAAATCTCCACTTCCCTCTTCCCCCATTCTCCCCCCCCTCCACACACCCTTCCTTCCCCCCAGTGAGGCAGTGCGCGGGCGGCTGGAGTCAGACGTGCTGCCATTGGTGGTGGCGGGGCTGGGAGACGCGCATCCCAAGGTGCGGGGGGCGGCGTGCTTCGCGGTGGGGCAGCTGTCGGAGTTTGTGCAGCCCGAGGCGTCGGAGCACTACAAGATCATCCTGCCCGCTGTCTTCGCCGCCCTCAATGACGCCTCGCCCGTTGTCAGGGTCAGTGGCAAAGAAAGGGGTACTGATTTTGAGAGACCTCAAGAGCGACTCTGTTCTTGGGAGCTGGGCTGAATGCTTGGTGTGGATGTGAGGCACTGTATGCAGTTTAGTGTCGGCCTTACCACCCGAGCTTCAGTGCTCTCGGCCCTCCCTCTCTCTTTCCGTCCCTGCCTCCCTAAATTCTTCCCTCCCTCCATCTCTCTCCGCCTATCCCACTCAGATCCCTGCAAGTTGCCACATCCCTCCCTCGCTCCCTCCCTTCCACCCCTCCCCCCTCCTCAGGAGAAGGCGTACTACGCGTTAGCAGCGTTCTGCGAGCACATGGGGGACGAGATCCTGGAGTTCCTGGACCCGCTCATGCGCCAACTCATGGACGCCCTGCGCTCGCCCGACCGCAACCTGCAGGAGATGTGCATCGTGAGTTCTATGATGTGCATCGTGAGTTGTATGATGTGAACCGTGAGTTGTATGATGTGCATCCTGAGTTGTATGATGTGCATCGTGAGTTGTATGATGTGAACAGTGAGTTGTATGATGTGCATCGTGAGTTGGATGATGTGCATCGTGAGTTGTATGATGTGCATCGTGAGTTGTATGATGTGCATCGTGAGTTGTATGATGTGAACCGTGAGTTGTATGATGTGCATCGTGAGTTGTATGATGTGCATCGTGAGTTGTATGATGTGAACCGTGAGTTGGATGATGTGCATCGTGAGTTGGATGATGTGCATCGTGAGTTGTATGATGTGCATCGTGAGTTGTATGATGTGCATCGTGAGTTGTATGATGTGCATCGTGAGTTGTATGATGTGAACCGTGAGTTGGATGATGTGCATCGTGAGTTGGATGATGTGCATCGTGAGTTGTATGATGTGCATCGTGAGTTGTATGATGTGCATCGTGAGTTGTATGATGTGAACCGTGAGTTGTATGATGTGCATCGTGAGTTGTATGATGTGCATCGTGAGTTGTAAGATGTGAACCGTGAGTTGTATGATGTGCATCGTGAGTTGTATGATGTGCATCGTGAGTTGTATGATGTGAACCGTGAGTTGGATGATGTGCATCGTGAGTTGGATGATGTGCATCGTGAGTTGTATGATGTGCATCGTGAGTTGTATGATGTGCATCGTGAGTTGTATGATGTGCATCGTGAGTTGTATGATGTGCATCGTGAGTTGTATGATGTGCATCGTGAGTTGTATGATGTGCATCGTGAGTTGTTGATGTGCATCGTGAGTTGTATGATGTGCATCGTGAGTTGTATGATGTGCATCGTGAGTTGTATGATGTGCATCGTGAGTTGTATGATGTGCATCGTGAGTTGTATGATGTGCATCGTGAGTTGTATGATGTGAACCGTGAGTTGGATGATGTGCATCCTGAGTTGGATGATGTGCATCGTGAGTTGTATGATGTGCATCGTGAGTTGTATGATGTGCATCGTGAGTTGTATGATGTGCATCGTGAGTTGTATGATGTGCATCGTGAGTTGTATGATGTGCATCGTGAGTTGTATGATGTCCATCGTGAGTTGTATGATGTGCATCGTGAGTTGTATGATGTGCATCGTGAGTTGTATGATGTGAACCGTGAGTTGTATGATGTGCATCGTGAGTTGTATGATGTGCATCGTGAGTTGTATGATGTGAACCGTGAGTTGTATGATGTGCATCGTGAGTTGTATGATGTGCATCGTGAGTTGTATAATGCGAACCGTGAGTTGGATGATGTGCATCGTGAGTTGTATAATGCGAACCGTGAGTTGTATGATGTGCATCGTGAGTTGGATGATGTGCATCGTGAGTTGTATGATGTGCATCGTGAGTTGTATGATGTGCATCGTGAGTTGTATGATGTGAACCGTGAGTTGTATGATGTGCATCGTGAGTTGTATGATGTGCATCGTGAGTTGTATGATGTGAACCGTGAGTTGGATGATGTGCATCGTGAGTTGGATGATGTGCATCGTGAGTTGTATGATGTGCATCGTGAGTTGTATGATGTGCATCGTGAGTTGTATGATGTGCATCGTGAGTTGTATGATGTGAACCGTGAGTTGGATGATGTGCATCGTGAGTTGGATGATGTGCATCGTGAGTTGTATGATGTGCATCGTGAGTTGTATGATGTGCATCGTGAGTTGTATGATGTGAACCATGAGTTGTATGATGTGCATCGTGAGTTGTATGATGTGCATCGTGAGTTGTAAGATGTGAACCGTGAGTTGTATGATGTGCATCGTGAGTTGTATGATGTGCATCGTGAGTTGTATGATGTGAACCGTGAGTTGGATGATGTGCATCGTGAGTTGGATGATGTGCATCGTGAGTTGTATGATGTGCATCGTGAGTTGTATGATGTGCATCGTGAGTTGTATGATGTGCATCGTGAGTTGTATGATGTGCATCGTGAGTTGTATGATGTGCATCGTGAGTTGTATGATGTGCATCGTGAGTTGTATGATGTGCATCGTGAGTTGTATGATGTGCATCGTGAGTTGTATGATGTGTATCGTGAGTTGTATGATGTGCATCGTGAGTTGTATGATGTGCATCGTGAGTTGTATGATGTGAACCGTGAGTTGGATGATGTGCATCCTGAGTTGGATGATGTGCATCGTGAGTTGTATGATGTGCATCGTGAGTTGTATGATGTGCATCGTGAGTTGTATGATGTGCATCGTGAGTTGTATGATGTGCATCGTGAGTTGTATGATGTCCATCGTGAGTTGTATGATGTGCATCGTGAGTTGTATGATGTGCATCGTGAGTTGTATGATGTGAACCGTGAGTTGTATGATGTGCATCGTGAGTTGTATGATGTGCATCGTGAGTTGTATGATGTGAACCGTGAGTTGTATGATGTGCATCGTGAGTTGTATGATGTGCATCGTGAGTTGTATAATGCGAACCGTGAGTTGGATGATGTGCATCGTGAGTTGTATGATGTGCATCGTGAGTTGTATGATGTGAACCGTGAGTTGGATGATGTGCATCATGAGTTGTATGATGTGCATCGTGAGTTGTGTGATGTGCATCGTGAGTTGTATGATGTGCATCGTGAGTTGTATGATGTGCATCGTGAGTTGTATGATGTGAACCGTGAGTTGGATGATGTGCATCCTGAGTTGGATGATGTGCATCGTGAGTTGTATGATGTGCATCGTGAGTTGTATGATGTGGATCGTGAGTTGTATGATGTGCATCGTGAGTTGTATGATGTGCATCGTGAGTTGTATGATGTGCATCGTGAGTTGTATGATGTCCATCGTGAGTTGTATGATGTGCATCGTGAGTTGTATGATGTGCATCGTGAGTTGTATGATGTGAACCGTGAGTTGTATGATGTGCATCGTGAGTTGTATGATGTGCATCGTGAGTTGTATGATGTGAACCGTGAGTTGTATGATGTGCATCGTGAGTTGTATGATGTGCATCGTGAGTTGTATAATGCGAACCGTGAGTTGGATGATGTGCATCGTGAGTTGTATGATGTGCATCGTGAGTTGTATGATGTGAACCGTGAGTTGGATGATGTGCATCGTGAGTTGTATGATGTGCATCGTGAGTTGTATGATGTGCATCGTGAGTTGTATGATGTGCATCGTGAGTTGTATGATGTGCATCGTGAGTTGTATGATGTGCATCATGAGTTGTATGATGTGCATCGTGAGTTGTATGATGTGCATCGTGAGTTGTATGATGTGCATCGTGAGTTGTATGATGTGCATCGTGAGTTGTATGATGTGCATCGTGAGTTGGATGATGTGAACCGTGAGTTGGATGATGTGCATCGTGAGTTGTATGATGTGCATCGTTAGTTGTGTGATGTGCATCGTGAGTTGTGTGATGTGCATCGTGAGTTGTATGATGTGAACCGTGAGTTGTATGATGTGCATCGTGAGTTGTATGATGTGCATCGTGAGTTGTATGATGTGCATCGTGAGTTGGATGATGTGCATCGTGAGTTGGATGATGTGCATCGTGAGTTGGATGATGTGCATCGTGAGTTGTATGATGTGCATCTTGAGTTGTATGATGTGAACCGTGAGTTGTATGATGTGCATCGTGAGTTGTATGATGTGCATCGTGAGTTGTATGATGTGAACCGTGAGTTGGATGATGTGCATCGTGAGTTGGATGATGTGCATCGTGAGTTGTATGATGTGCATCGTGAGTTGTATGATGTGCATCGTGAGTTTTATGATGTGCATCGTGAGTTGTATGATGTGAACCGTGAGTTGGATGATGTGCATCGTGAGTTGGATGATGTGCATCGTGAGTTGTATGATGTGCATCGTGAGTTGTATGATGTGCATCGTGAGTTGTATGATGTGAACCGTGAGTTGTATGATGTGCATCGTGAGTTGTATGATGTGCATCGTGAGTTGTAAGATGTGAACCGTGAGTTGTATGATGTGCATCGTGAGTTGTATGATGTGCATCGTGAGTTGTATGATGTGAACCGTGAGTTGGATGATGTGCATCGTGAGTTGGATGATGTGCATCGTGAGTTGTATGATGTGCATCGTGAGTTGTATGATGTGCATCGTGAGTTGTATGATGTGCATCGTGAGTTGTATGATGTGCATCGTGAGTTGTATGATGTGCATCGTGAGTTGTTTGATGTGCATCGTGAGTTGTATGATGTGCATCGTGAGTTGTATGATGTGCATCGTGAGTTGTATGATGTGCATCGTGAGTTGTATGATGTGCATCGTGAGTTGTATGATGTGCATCGTGAGTTGTATGATGTGAACCGTGAGTTGGATGATGTGCATCCTGAGTTGGATGATGTGCATCGTGAGTTGTATGATGTGCATCGTGAGTTGTATGATGTGCATCGTGAGTTGTATGATGTGGATCGTGAGTTGTATGATGTGCATCGTGAGTTGTATGATGTGCATCGTGAGTTGTATGATGTGCATCGTGAGTTGTATGATGTCCATCGTGAGTTGTATGATGTGCATCGTGAGTTGTATGATGTGCATCGTGAGTTGTATGATGTGAACCGTGAGTTGTATGATGTGCATCGTGAGTTGTATGATGTGAACCATGAGTTGGATGATGTGCATCGTGAGTTGTATGATGTGCATCGTGAGTTGTGTGATGTGCATCGTGAGTTGTGTGATGTGCATCGTGAGTTGTATGATGTGAACCGTGAGTTGTATGATGTGCATCGTGAGTTGTATGATGTGCATCGTGAGTTGTATGATGTGCATCGTGAGTTGGATGATGTGCATCGTGAGTTGTATGATGTGAACCGTGAGTTGGATGATGTGAACCGTGAGTTGTATGATGTGCATCGTGAGTTGTGTGATGTGCATCGTGAGTTGTATGATGTGCATCGTGAGTTGTATGATGTGCATCGTGAGTTGTATGATGTGAACCGTGAGTTGTATGATGTGCATCGTGAGTTGTATGATGTGCATCGTGAGTTGTATGATGTGAACCGTGAGTTGGATGATGTGCATCGTGAGTTGTATGATGTGCATCGTGAGTTGTATGATGTGAACCGTGAGTTGTATGATGTGCATCGTGAGTTGTATGATGTGCATCGTGAGTTGTATGATGTGCATCGTGAGTTGTATGGTGTGAACCGTGAGTTGTATGATGTGCATCGTGAGTTGTATGATGTGCATCGTGAGTTGTATGATGTGAACCGTGAGTTGTGTGATGTGCATCGTGAGCTGTATGATGTGCATCGTGAGTTGTATGATGTGCATCGTGAGTTGTATGATGTGCATCGTGAGTTGTATGATGTGCATCGTGAGTTGTATGATGTGCATCGTGAGTTGTATGATGTGCATCGTGAGTTGTATGATGTGCATCGTGAGTTGTATGATGTGAACCGTGAGCTGTATGATGTGCATCGTGAGTTGTATGATGTGCATCGTGAGTTGTATGATGTGAACCGTGAGTTGTATGATGTGCATCGTGAGTTGTATGATGTGCATCGTGAGTTGTATGATGTGAACCGTGAGTTGGATGATGTGCATCGTGAGTTGGATGATGTGCATCGTGAGTTGGATGATGTGCATCGTGAGTTGGATGATGTGCATCGTGAGTTGGATGATGTGCATCGTGAGTTGTATGATGTGCATCTTGAGTTGTATGATGTGAACCGTGAGTTGTATGATGTGCATCGTGAGTTGTATGATGTGCATCGTGAGTTGTATGATGTGAACCGTGAGTTGTATGATGTGCATCGTGAGTTGTATGATGTGCATCGTGAGTTGTATGATGTGAACCGTGAGTTGGATGATGTGCATCGTGAGTTGGATGATGTGCATCGTGAGTTGGATGATGTGCATCGTGAGTTGGATGATGTGCATCGTGAGTTGTATGATGTGCATCGTGAGTTGGATGATGTGCATCGTGAGTTGTATGATGTGCATCGTGAGTTGTATGATGTGAACCGTGAGTTGTATGATGTGCATCGTGAGTTGTATGATGTGCATTGTGAGTTGTATGATGTGAACCGTGAGTTGTATGATGTGCATCGTGAGTTGTATGATGTGCATCGTGAGTTGTATGATGTGAACCGTGAGTTGGATGATGTGCATCGTGAGTTGGATGATGTGCATCGTGAGTTGGATGATGTGCATCGTGTGCATCGTGAGTTGGATGATGTGCATTGTGAGTTGGATGATGTGCATCGTGATGTAATGGGAGGTCATGTCATGGAATGTGGTACAGATTCTTTGTGTCCATTCATAGTTGCACAAATCCAACTCACTCCTTCGCTGCACATGCCATCTCTTCAAACATCACGCATTCTCCCTATCTCCTCCACCCTCTCATGTCCCAACCGCCTCATCACCCTGCCGTCTTCCCCCTTTCTCCCCCCGCACAGTCCGCCATAGGATCAGCGGCAGCAGCAGCAGGTCCCAAGTTCGTCCCCTAGGGTGACGCGGTGCTAGCGGCGTTCATCCCACTGGTCTCCCTCACCACGGAGCCTAATGTGGTGACTTCTGAGTCGACTCAAAGGTCCCTCTTTCCTCCCACCCCGCATTCTCCCCCCTGCCAGTCCGCCATAGGATCAGCGGCAGCAGCAGCAGGTCCCAAGTTCGCGCCATACAGTGACGCGGTGCTGGCGGCGCTCATCCCGCTCGTGTCCCTCACAGCGGAGGCGGACGTGGACGTGCGGTCACGCGCGTACGAGCTGGTGGGCATCATTGGGATCGCCGTGGGGCGGCAAGCGGTGGAGCCCGTGCTGCCCGGCTTCATGGACGCCGCTCTCAAGGTGGGTGGGGGAGCAGTTGAGGGGCAGTGCTGTGAATGGCAGTAAGCCACAAGCAGTGCGGGTACGAGCTGGTGGGCATCACTGGGATTGCTGCGGGTGCCAGGCCATAGAAAGAGTGCTGCTGTGCTTCATGGCCTGAGTGCTGCACTTCAAGGTGCTGTGCTGGGTGGCTCGGGGGGTCGCAGGGATTGTTTATTGTGTTGCTCACGTCAGTAAGATATGTGAACGAGGGATTCAGAGCGCCTCACTCCCTTGCTCACCAACCACACGCCACCTCCCACGTCCCACACCCCACACCCCATGCTCAACCTTCTCCATGGCAGGGCTTCGCCCTGGACCAGAGTGCGTTGCGGGAGTAAGCGCACTCCTTCAGCGACGTCGCCAAGTTCCCTTGCTCACCCACCACGCGCTATTTGCCATTCCATGCCGCACCCCCCACATACACTCACCCCCATGGCAGGGCTTCGCCCTGGACCAGAGTGCGCTGAGGGAGTATGCCCACTCCTTCTTCAGCGACGTCGCCAAGTTCCTCGAAGCTGACTTCGCCCCCGTGAGTATTGTCTTGTGCACCCCCCCTCAGCCCACCCAGCCCCCGTGATTTGCCGCTTGCATCCGTGCGCCTGCATGCTCTCCTTTCACCACTGCCCTCTCCATACATTTCTCCCATGCTCGCTGACTTCAAATCAATCTCCGTGCCACTAACACTCCACCACCCTGCTCTTCCCCCTCTCCCCCCTCTCTTTCTCTCCCCGCTACCAGTACCTGCAGCACGTGGTACCGCTCGCCTTTTTCTCCTGCCGCCTCGACGATGGCATTGTGGTCGGCCCAGCAGCCACCGACTTGGAATCAAACTTCGTGCCACTAACACTGTAACTCCTTTCCTCCCTCCTCACCCCTGCCAGTACCTGCAACACGTGGTGCCGCTTGCCTTCTCCTCCTGCCGCCTCGACGATGGCATCGTGGTCGGCCCGGCCGCCACCGACGACGATGCCGCCGACGCCGAGGGCGGCGGGCGGCGGCAGCTAGCGGCAGCACTGGCAGCAGGGGAGATCTCGTCGGATTCGGAGGATGAGGACGAGGGGGCGGCTTTGAGGGGGCTGAGGGGCATCAGTGTGCGCACGGCCGTGCTGGATGAGAAGGCGGCTGCTGCTCAGGCCATCGGCGCGTATGCTCAGTACACCAAGGCTGCTTTTGGCCCGTGAGTGTGCTGGTGGGGTGTGGTGCTGCTGCTGGGCTGCATGATTGCAGTGCGTGCATGCCATAGACCTCTGCTGGAAGCTGAGATAAGTGCATGGTTGGTGTGAAATTGTGAATCACGCACCACTGACCTGTCATGCTTCATCCGCATACCCCGCCCTTCCCCTCTCCCCTCTCGCCCTTCCCTCATGCAGGTACGTACAGGAGGCGGTGGGGGTGCTAAAGGACGGGGCGGACTATGCACATGAGGACGTGCGCCTGCAGGCCACGCTCTCCCTGCAACGTCAGTTCCCCCCTCCACCTCCTCCCCCCCCCCCCCCCCCCCCTTTCTGCTCCCTGCCCTCCCTCCTCTCTCCGCCCTCCTCCTTCCGCCCTCTGCCCTTCGCTATGCATCCACTGCCCAGCACCTGCATCCAGCCAAGCATGCCCACCATGCAGCATGTCACCCACCTTTCGCACTATCTGTCTCTCTTCTGTCGTCCACCTAAATCTCTCCGCCCTCACAACAACCCTCACAGCAACGTCTCCCCCGTCTCCCCCCCACCCTCTCCGCCTCCAACAGACCTGGTCACGGCGGCGCTGCACGCCTTCCCATCCGCCCCAGGCCAGGTACGCTTCATGCCCTCCCACAGGGGTGACTGACCGGTGCACTGAATGCTGCGGGGCAATGCTCTCTCTCATACTGCTGTGCCATCCTCTCTCTGCACAACAATCCCTCCACCTCTTATGTGGTTCTCCATTTGCCTTGCCTGCATCTGCCTTCAGTCCCCTCCATTGCTCAATTGCACTCACCCACGTCCCCCCTCCTGTGCATGCGCGACCAACCCCTCCCCCCGTGTGCTGCATGACACCCCGTCGCCATCACATTACCGTGCATGCCGCACACTCCCTGTGCACGCGGCGCTGCTCTGCTCTGCTGTGCGGCAACCACGTCACGGCACCTGCTGTGCGCCACCAGCCCATGAGTGCGGAAACGAAGCATGTCTTTGGTGAGCCCCCGGCGACCAACCACCACCCCTTGCCGCTCTGCCCTTGCTCTCCTGTAACCTCTCACTGTAACCTCTCACTGTAACCTCTCACTGTAACCGCTCATCTCATTGCTGCCCTGGCGGCACCTCCCCTCACGAGCCCCTCTGTTCCCTGTGTGTGCGCGCACATCAGACGTGGCGATGGAGGTGTGGATGGGGGCGATGAGGGATGACGAGGAGCGCGCAGTGGTGGGGCAGGCCTTCAGCGGCGCCACGGAGACCATCAAGGCGCTGCTGGCTGCTGACTCCGCCAACCAGCCCGCCATGGCGCCCTGTGAGTCACTGAGAGGGAAATGGCCATCCGCCTGTGCTCTGTGTTGCCACCCTGCTTTGCAATCTCCTCCACAGCCACCCCCTGCCCCTGAATCCCCTCGCCTTCTCTCCACCCTCCTCCTTCCACCCGTCGTCCCCTGACCCCTTTGTCTCAACCCACCCTTCGTCTCAACACCCCCCTCTCTGCCAACACCCCCCTCTCTCCCAACACCCCCCTCTCTCCCAACACCCCCCTCTCTCCCAACACCCCCCTCTCTCCCAACACCCCTGTCAGACGCCGAGCCTCTGGTCTGGTGGCAGCGGTGCGGGCAGCGGTGTGGGACGAGCTGCCATACGGGATAGACTTTGATCGGCTTTTCAAAGAACCCAAACCTTTCCCCCACCCCCTGCTGGTCAGACGCGGAGCCTCTGGTGGCGGCGGTGCGAGCGGCGCTGAGGGACGAGCTGCCGTGCCAGCGAGCAGCCAGCGATGCCGAGACGGGCGGCGAGGGGGCAGCGGGGCCGACGGAGGCGGCGGAGGAGGAGGAAGAGGAGGAGGAGCACGACGAGGAGCTCATGGACGCCGCTGTTGACCTGCTGCCCGCTGTGGCGCGTGCCGTGGGCGCCGCTGCCTTCGCCCCTGTCTTCCACTCCCTGCTGCCCGACATCCTCGCCTTCACGGTGCCCTCCTATACCTCCCTTGCGCCCTCTCTCCCTCCTTCACTTGCTCCCTTGCAGTTTTTCTCCCTCGTGGGCTCATGGTCTTGCTCGCTGTGGCACGCATGGGCCGGCTATGGTGTGCCTTCGCCCTCCCCTTCGCACTTCCTTCACCCTGCCATCTTCACACACATGCTCTGCACTCCCCTGCCTTGCTCTCTCCTTCCGCATTCCCCCTGTCACCTCTCGCACTCTTCAGTCTCTTTGTCACTCAGCCTTGCTTCGTCTCTCACACTTTCCCCACCTCTCGTGTACTCTTCCCCTCTCGTGTACTCTTCCCCTCTCGTGTACCCTTCCCCTCTTATAGTCTTCTCCTCTTCACCTCTTCTCCCCCTGCCTCTCCATCTTCCCCTCTCCCCCTCCACCCACCATTGATTGGAGCAGAAAGCCTCCCGCCCGCCCAACGATCGCAGCATGGCGGTGGGGTGCATTGCTGACGTGGCAGGGGAGCTGGGGGAAGCCATGGCGCAATACGTGGATGTGAGTGCCTGGGGATGGGGTATAGGTATGCGTTGGGGTGTAGTGTGGCATGGAGGGTGGTATGGCAAGGGGTGTGTTGCACTCCTGCAGTCATGTTGTGCCATCCCTTATCCAACATGCCTTCCATTCCCTTCATTCTGCTTCTTCAATGCGCTCTCAACCGAACTACATCCTCCACCACTCTCACAAGCCTCCCTCCCACTTTCCCTCGCCACAGACCCTACTGCCCGTGCTGGCATCAGAGCTGAGGGGCGGAGACCCCCCCAACCGCCGCAACGCTGCCTTTGCCGTCGGCAAGCTGGCTGAAGTTTCGGGCGCTGCCATGCACAGGTGCGCGCTGCCATGCACAGGTGGGGAGGCACGGAGGGGCGAAACTGTTGCCACTGCATGCCTTCTGCTGCTCCCCTTCTTCACCTCACTGCCGTTTCCTCTCACTGCCATGCCCGCTGTCGCCATGCATCCTTCCCCTCCCCCTCCCCCCCAATCCCACAGCACGGCTCCTGGCAGGCACTCCCGTCGACCTGCTGCTGCCACTCACCTCACTGTCATTCCCCAACCCCCCCAACACCTCCTCCTTCCCCACCCCCAGGCACTACTCTGATATCCTGTTGGGATTGCACCCGCTCTTCTCAGCGGACGAGGATGACGACGTGAGGGACAACGCTGCCGGTGCTGTTGCCCGCATGATCGCTTCTGGTGGCGCTTCCATGCCTCTCGACCAGGTCAGAGCACTGCCATGCCGCTTGACCAGGTCTGGTGTTTGTTCAATTGCAAGTGGAGAGTTCTGTTCACTGCCATGCCGTAAACCCATGTCGCACCAACGTCCGTCCCTCCCTAATCGTTCTTCCTCTCCACCTCGCTGTTCTCCTGCCCACCAGGTGCTGCCAGTGCTGGTGGCGGCGCTGCCTCTCAAGTCAGACCTGGAGGAGGCCAAGCCAGTGTACGGCTGCCTCGTGGCTCTTGTTGCCGCCTCACATCCCCAGGTACATGCACCAACCTCCACCACAATGTGGGTGATCATTCAACGTGACATCACATCAATCGTGCATCACGTACTTCATGGTTATCAATTCTGCTGCCATTCTCATGTGCTTGTGCTTTACGCACTGTCCCTTTTTTGTGCAGATCTTGCCAGTGGTGCCGCAGCTGGTGCCTGTATTCGCAGAGGTGGCGGTTAACGGTAAGATTGCACCGGAAGTGCGTCTCTCCGTGGGCCAAGCCTGCTCGCATCTCGCGCAGGCATTTGCAGATCAAATGCAGCCGCTCCTGGCGGCGCTTCCTAGTGATCGCGCCACTGCTCTTTCCTCATGCATGGCTGGCACCTTGCCTCCTGCATCTGGTTAGATGCTGCAAGACACAACATATTATTTCTTCTGTAGTAGTAGGTATGTAGGAAGTCATTTACTAGTTAGGTAGCTGTGAGTTGAATAGGAAGCATTGAAGTAGGGTTGTCGACAACTATCTCTTCAGGCAAAAATTGATATTGTATTTTTTCACGTGAAATCTGTACATCATTATTCAACACTACCTGTATTTGTTCGCGTGAAATCTTTGCTTCATTATTCAACACTACGAGGGATTCCAGTTTCCAAATGTCGGCTTACAAGTGGACCACGGCCAACAGCGCGATGAGGTGCCCTTGCGCCTCCCGCTGAATTGGAATCCATACCTTGGGAATGTCAAGCCGCGCGCTGACGTGTACCAACCCCTCGATTTCCTCAATCGCCCCTGAAGAAGCTTCTTCAAGCGGAATTGGGAATGCGCAGGTCTGACGTGGCACCCTGCCTCATCCTGTCAGGAAACCTCCTCCCACTCTGCTTCGCCCTCCACTCTCTCCACTTTCTGTTTTCCCTCGCGCTAGCAGCTTCTTTTGTGCACCGCTTCAGACGGATCGTTACACGATTTTAGGGACGTGTCTCACGTTTCTTGCGTCGTAATCGGCAAGCCACCAATTCTCCGTCGCCACTAGCATCGAGCAACAATGGCTGCCGCGTGCTCATCGTGCGCCATCCAGGCGGCAAATTTATGCTTAGTGGAGAGAGGATCGCAGGCCACAGCCGTTAGGGCTCCCAAGGTGCCGGTGAGCAAGCTTTCGTGCGCTGGTTAGCGTCCTCGTCTTGCAATCTCATCTGATGTAGCGTATGCGCTGATTCGCAATGTGTTTTCGCGTCCACCGACCTTCCGTATCGTGCAGGCCGCATTCCTCGGCCAAACTCTCGGTTTGAACGCGCACTCGGCGATCGGCAGCCAGAAGGTGGCCTCAACGGGAATTCAGGTATAGATTCGACGCACCGTGCACAAATTAATATATTTCGCGACGCGAGAGTGCCCCCATTCACCCGGCTACTGTGGAGCTTTTGAGTCGACGCATTATGCATCTTGTGATCGCTCGCATGCACTGCTGCTGAACAGCTCCGTGTCATTTGAAATCCTGTAAGGTGGTTATTCTGTGACCAAATCATTTTTATGTCATTTGCTTATGAATATTCCTTTCTCCCATCCCATCGCTGCCTTGATTCAGCTCGTAGCGGCAGCGGCGGTGAGGGGTGTCAGGTGCAGCGCAGCGGCAGCAGCGGAAGCTGGTAAGTGCAGATGGCAGGCTCTCTCAGCGTTGCACCGCTATTCTCTCGCATACGATCCCCATCATGCCTCCCTACCCCGCGTACGCACCCTCCTCGCATCCCGACCCTTGCGTGCCGCACCATGCCCACCAGGTCGCATGTGTCGTCTTCCTTGCTCCATGCTCCTATCCACTCTTTTACCCTTCAAAACTCCCGGTGCCCTACCTACCTTAAATCAGCAGCCCTTCCTTCCCCCGCCTCCGCCCCTTCCTTCCCCCCTCCCCTCCCCCCACCCCTTCACACCCCCCACTCCTTTCAACCTTTCCCTCGCCGCAAATCCCTGAATTGCGCAAACGTTTGCGGAGTTAGCGCTTAGAGGGACTCCAACCTGAATTCCTCCCCATCCTGCACTTCCTTCCAACCTCCAGTTTCCGCCCCTCCCGCGGTGCGCCCGTCCGCGGCGGAGTTGGCGCAGACGGTGGTGGAGCTGTCGGCGGAGGGCACGCTCGTCACGCTCGCGCACGGCGGCGCGGGCAGCACGCTCGCGGGCGACGACCAACCACTCCCCGCCACGTGGCCGCTGGCCTGCCACGCGTTCTTCGCGCCCGACCCCGAGGGCCGCCCCATCGTGCTGCTCGCTGACTCGAGCCGCGCCGCCGCCAACCTCGCTGACGACGCGCAGGCGTGCCTACACGTGCAGGTAAGGGGAAGAGTAAGAGGCGAGCCTACTTGTGGAGGTAAGGGGGAGTCGAACTCAATGAAAGTGCACACTCACACACGTGCAACTATCCCATTCAGGCCCTGCAACATGTGCCCCAAGTGGGACAACCGCTTCCCAGCTACCTTATGTCCACCAGCCGCCTCGTATCCACGTGCTCACACATGCAGTAGCGGCCATTTCTCAGGCACCTCATATGCTCCTGCCACCTCATATGCTCCTGCCACCTCATATCCATCAGCAACCTTATTTCGACTGGCCACCTTATGTCCACCCAAGTGCCACAATTGCATCTTGTGTGATGGCAAGGTGCTCATTCCTTAAAACAACCTCCTTTTCCCTGTTGTCGCCCCGCTGATTGGACAGATCGAGCTGCCAGGTCAGCAGAAGCCGCAGGTGTCGCTGCATGGACGGCTGACCAAGGCACACGACGGCAAGACGCTCGGGGTGAGTGAATGACGTTTATGTTGGTTGGAGGGTCAAGAGAAAGCGAGGCTACAGGCATTTGCCCATGTGCCTGTGCTGCCACAAACAAATCCCAGGCACCAGGATGCATGCAACAGAAAAATACAAATCTGCACATGTACGCCAACCCCCAGCCACCCCCTCACATGCAGCCACGCAGCCTCACACATCCACCTGCCTGCCTGCCTGCCCTTATGTCCTCCACTCCTGCTCTCACTCGCTCCGCGTCCTTCTGTGCCCCCGTGCTCCCATCACACCCTGTGCCCCGCGCCCCCGCCACACGGCAGAAGCTGGAGGCGGCGTGGAGGCGGCGCTTCCCCGACAGTGAGGAGGATGCGGGCAGCAGCGACGGCTCTTCGTCCTCTGCTCTCTTCCTGCTGGACGTTGACCGTGTGCTCGTGGCGCCAGACGCCGACCAGGTAAAAAGGCGGGGAGAGGGGAGTGTGGTGGTGTGGGCGTGAGTGTTTATGTGTGCGCAACGGTTACCCATGGTAGCTGCAACGGCTCCACGTCATCGCTCTTCCTGCTGGACGTTGATCGTGTGCTCGTGGCGCCTGATGCCGACCAGGTGAGGGGGGACAGGAAGGTGGTGGTGCTGTGGGTGTGAGTGGTTGAGGGGTAAGGGTTACGCATGGCAGCACCTGTCCCACCCAATCAGCCAAACCCACCTCACACTGATCTGCCCTGCACCAACCCACCACATGTCACCCGCAGGAGGACGAGTGGATATCCCCAGATGTCTACTTCAGTGCCGACGCCGACCCCCTGCGGGAGGCGACAGCGGGCATAGTGGCTGATATCAATCGAGAGCACTGGCAGGACCTGCGCTTCCCCGCCTTACTCATGCAATTCTGCTCTGCCCCCAACCCCCCCATCCCACAGGAGGGCGAGTGGATCTCCCCAGAGGCCTATCTGAACGCGGACGCCGACCCTCTGCGCGAGGTAGCAGCAGGCATAGTGGCCGACTTCAACCGAGAGCACTGGCAGGACCTGCGCCGCTTCCCCGCCGCCTTCGCCGCGCTGCCAGACCTGCAGGTGGACGACGCGTCGCTCATCTGGGTGGACCGCCTTGGCTTTGACCTCCGCATGCTCGCTCGCCCCGCCATGCCCGGTGCTGCTGCCGCGGCGGATTTCCCCGCGCGGGTGATGGATGTGCGCGTGGCGTTTGCACGGGAGGTGGGGGAGGAGAGAGAGGCACGGTCTGCGCTGACCATGATGGCGCAGGTGGCGTGGGAGAGGGAGAGGAGCTTTGGCAGCCCCGCTGCTCCCGCCGCTGCTGCTGCTGAGGCTGCTTCCTCGTAGGACCGTGTGCGGAACAGGAGAGCTGGCTGGTGGGGTGTGCACCTGCTAGTGTTTTTCGTGGTTAGAGTAGAGAGATAGAGAAGTGAGCTGGGGTGCTGGTGTATGTGGGTCGCGGCTGCTCATGACACAGATGTGGCATGAGTGTTAGCAGGAGAGGGACAACTCATGTTCAGAGCAATAACTAGTGTGGCTCGTAACGAGTACTACTGATTTGGCAAAGAATCAGGCCCCTAGATATGAATTGAGCATGCGGTACCTACACTCAGTCAACCAATGGATGCACCAAGCAGCAACCTAATGACAACCTGGCTTTGTGCTGTACGCAAAAAAATGCAGAACCACTTGTTGAGCACACACGCACCACATTACTCCATGTTGAAATGACACTAGCTACCGTATGCATCACACGTGCATGCTTCACCCTCTTCTGGGTCTTGACACAAGGGGCTGCCATTGGCGCTTGCCTCGAAGCAATAATCCTGTGACGTGCCTGCCGTGACCTATCTGGAGCCAATGTGTAAACACGCACGGCGATACTCCGCCCTCAGGCTTTCCATGCTTGGATCTGTGAAGGAGAAAGGGCAGTCATTCCAAAGACAAGGGTTGGGCCACGAGGGCAGGTGGAGGGGTTTGAGTGGGAGCACAGGCAGGACTCAGCACAGCACGAGCTCTCGGCCATCCAGTCAGCCAAGCACACAGCAGTGGAAAGGTGTTAAGCACCCAAGCAGCCGCTTCATGCTGGGCAGCCTCTGATCACGCACCTGAGTTGTCCAGACTGGGCGGCAGAGTGATCTGGAACAGTGCCGACTCGGTTCTGCCCAGCAGCTTCACTCCCTGCTGCTTCGCACTCGCAAGCAGCGCTCGACCAATCATGTTCCACGCCAGGGTGGCCGCCTCGTCACACACCGCCTCCCTCTCCTCCCTCCTCCTCTCCTCTTCCTCCTCCCTCACTCTCTCCCTCTCCTCTGCTGCTCGCCTGGCTCCACCCTCCCCTCTCCGCCATCTCCCATCCATCCTACCCTGTGTCTCCCACCCCCCTTCCCTCCCCCTTTCAAACGCATCAGCAGCTGACCGCTTCCTCCCCCCGGTCCTGCCAGCTGGCGGCCTATCATCGGTCGCATGCTGTCTGGCATCCACGTCAGCTGCCAGCGAGGCAGTTCCTCCTCCCAAGAAGGCGGACAAACCCCAAGGGTCGTCCCTCACTGCGCTCTGCTGCACTGCACCTGTTCCTGCCGCATCGCCTGCCACTGCACCTCCTGCCTCAGCAGCACCACCAGCAGCAGCAGCCCTGCTCCGCTCATCAGCTGCCACAGCAGCAGCTCTCGCATTGTTGGCAGCAGCAGCAGCAGTATCAGCGGCTGCAGCAGCGGCATCAGCAGTGCCAGCAGTGGTGGCAGCAGATACAGGTTGTGAGAGTGAGAGCAGGGAACTCAGCCGCAGCACTGCCTCTAGCGCCCCTCCCACCACCCGCACCTCCCACCCCTCCCCATCCCCACACTGCCTTCCCATTCCCGCCACCCCCTGCCCTCTCCCTCTCCCCCTCTCCCCTCTGCCCGCTCTCCCGCCCCCATCCTCCTCCCGCGTCCCCCTGCCTCTCCCCCTGCCCCTCCCCCTGCCCCTCCCCGTGCCCTTGTGTCCTGCTTGCTCGGCTGGTGCCTCTGCATCCTGCAAGCGAGCAGAGGTGGCGAGGAAACGACACATGTCCTGCACGGGATTGGGAGAGGGGCGTGGGGGGGGGGGGGGGGGGGGGGGTAAGGGAGGAAATAACGTTCAGAAACACGCAATTGGTAAGTTTGAACCTTAAAGAATGTCGGGCCTTGGAAGATATTTAAAAGGAAACGACTTGAGTTGATAAACAGATGGTGGGAACGAGCGTTGGGAAAGGAGAGCTACTGCAGAGAGGGGCGGTGTGGGAGTCAGAATTTGTGACAGCGAAGGACGAGGGGGGAGAGAGTGGATAGAGGGCATGGGAGGCGTGGGGCGAGGGAAGGAGGCGGTGTAGGGTGAGGCAGGTAGGAGGTGTGCGGTGAAAGAGGAAGGCGTTGTGCGTGGGATACCTGGAGGGCAGAAGGCGAGGTGACGGCTCTGACGTCCGACTCCAGTAGTGTGCTGTGCGCATGCCGGCATTGGGGCATGGGGGGCATATGGGGGGCATATGGGGGGCATATGGGGGGCATATGGGGGGCATATGGGGGGCATATGGGGGGCATATGGGGGGCATATGGGGGGCATATGGGGGCCATGGTGACACACGATGATCAGGGGCACACAGTGGCACACGCACATGAACAGCCACCCTGAATTGATGCACATGTGTGCGTGGGAGGGCGAAGGAGACAGAGCTTCCATACATTAGTCCAGCGGCTTTGGAAATTCAAGTGTTTGGAGCCAGTGAGATAGTGGTAGGCATACCCCTTATAGTAGTACTCGTCAATCTTTTGAAAGACATCAGCGTCCTGGGGCCACCGCTGCGCTGCAAGCCTGCGCACACACACATGCACATGAACGCACCCCATGCACACATACACACACAAATATGTGCACGGGTGTCATAGTGGGGTAACCCTACCCTTCAGAACCCCCAACCATATCTCCCCCTTACACCTTCTCCCACTAGGAATGGGCAAACCAGAACTCAAGTCAAAGCTTCCTTTCAATACCCCATGTCACATAAGCCCCTCTCCGCCGCTTAAAGCCCTCCCAAAACTACACCCCTCTTTCTCCCCGGAACCCCTCTCCACTGCATAAACCCATCTTACCCCCGAAATCCTTCTCCCCCGCCACCCCCAACCCCTCGCCGAATCCCTCAACCCCTCTCCCCGCCACCCCCATGCACCCTTCCCCACCCCCTCCCCCCGCGCGGAACGCACTTGCAGCGGAGGCGGCCCTCCTCATCGGCGCGCAGCAGCTGGTTCGCCAGCGACCGGCTCTCCATCGCCACCTCCAGCGCCCCCCGCGCTCCTCCGCCTCCCCCGCTTCCGCCCCCCCCGCTTCCGCCTCCCCTGCTGCCGCCGCCCCCCCTTCCGTCTCCCCCGCTGCCGTCTCCCCTATGCCCCGACACACCCAGCCACTCCTCGTCCCCCAAACCCAACCCTGCTGCTTCCCGAGCCTCCGCTTCTCGTTCGGGATCATCGTCGTCTCGACTGGGCTGGTTATATTCGTCGGAGCCCTCCCGTTCTGCTGACGTGTCGCCTACCGATTTGCTGCTGCGCGCTTGCTGCGCGGAAGGTATACTGAAGCCCGGGGAGTGACTAGGCGTGCGGTGTGATTCTAACGGGTGCGAATTAACCCGCCCACTTGCATAATAGTCCGCATATTCCGCATCTCCCCCGTCTCTCCGCAAGTCATCCCCTCCCCCCATGCTTCCGCCGTCGTCCCCGGACTCGTCGCTCCCCCCGTACTCATCCGCATGCTCCTCTTCCCCCGCGCCATTCCCCCGCGCGGACAGACAGCGCAACCGGCGCGCACCGATGGAGCGGGCGGGGGAGAAGCGGGAAGGGGAGAAGCGCGGAAAGGCTGCGGTGGCGGAGGGGGAGGGCGGGGAAGGGGGTCCGCGCGGGTGGTCGCGGTAGGAGGCGGAGGGTGAGATGAAGAGGAACCGCGGAACGGACGCGTTGGAAGGGGAAGGGGGAGCGTCCATGGCGACGGGCGGGACGGCGTCGCGCGTGAAGAGACGAATATTGAGGCACCTAGAGAATCGTCACGAGCGCGTGGCGTGAGGGGCGGGTTCAGGCGCGAGGGCGCGGCTGAGGTGGCGCGAGGAAAGGCTGCTTGGTTGAACTGGCGTGTTGCGGTCAAGTGTCAGGATGCACGATTCTGTCCATGTCATGTGATCATGGGATGGGATGCTTCGCGCGCCTGTCGTTTTCATGTAACAACCGCGTTACTCCCATGTGAAGTTCCTACACTGAGTATCTTTATCCAAACAATTAATCACAAACGGATCTACACTACATTGCAAGGTGGTCCTTTGGCACACATCAATAACAGAATTAACAAATTCTCATTTCAGCACACTATGAGATGAGACATGGACAGTGGAAATCTTAATCTCCTTGGTGTATGCACATGCCACTACACCCAAAATCTCGAACACATGCACGCATTGACTTGCCACCCTAAAAACGACCACCACGGAAACCACCACCCCTCCCCCTGAATCCCCCCCCTCCACCCCGAAACCCTCCCCCTCCCCCTCTCCCCCTGAACCCACCTCCTCCGCCCCTTCCCCCTCCCCTGAATCCCCCTCGCCCCCCTCCACGACCCCCCCTGCCTCCCCGGCCTCCAAAGCCCCCTCTCCCCCCTGCACTGGCACCCCTGCACTCATGAGGGGGGAAGAACAGGTGGAAGGGGCGAGAGAGGAGGGAGACAAATGGAGAAAGATAATTGGGTGAAGAGTAAAAAAGGAAGGAATACAAGGAATAGACGGAGGTGAGTCAGGGAAAGACCATGTAGCACCTCATCCCAGAGTGCACCACCCACCCGCACCACCCAGCACCACACTCAACCCCCCTGTACTGTACTCACTTAGGCTGCGGCAGGAAGCGCTGCAGCGGCAGCAGCTTCATGGGGTCAACATTGCCACCACCAATTCACACCACCCAGTACCGCACTCAATCCCCCTACACTCACTTGGGCTGCGGCAGGAAGCGCTGCAGCGGCAGCAGCTTCATGGGGTCAACATTGCCACCACCAATTCACACCACCCAGTACCGCACTCAATCCCCCTACACTCACTTGGGCTGCGGCAGGAAGCGCTGCAGCGGCAGCAGCTTCATGGGGTCAACATTGCCACCACCAATTCACACCACCCAGTACCGCACTCAATCCCCCTACACTCACTTAGGTTGCGGCAGGAAGCGCTGCAGCGGCAGCAGCTTCATGGGGTCAACATTGCCACCACCAATTCACACCACCCAGTACTGCACTCAATCCCCCTACACTCACTTGGGCTGCGGCAGGAAGTGCTGCAGCGGCAGCAGCTTCATGGGGTCAACATTGCCACCACCAATTCACACCACCCAGTACCGCACTCAATCCCCCTACACTCACTTGGGCTGCGGTAGGAAGCGCTGCAGCGGCAGCAGCTTCATGGGGTCGATGAAGAACTTGTCCCCCGGCGAGTAGGACGTCGCCACCACCCCCTCCTGCATCTTTATCGAAAAATACTGCACACGGTAGAAAGGAGGAGGGGAGGAGGGGGGGGGAGGGAAGAAAGGGAAAGAGCGCAGCAGGGACAGAGAAAAAGATGAGGGCGGGGAAACAGCGAGTAAGACGTCGCCACCTGCCCTCCTGAATCTTTATCGAAAAATATTTCAGGAAAGTGGGGAAGGCGGGGATCAGCCGCCTTAAAAGTAGATTAAGGTGAGCAAGTTTGCATTCGAAGTTGACTAGAAAACATACACGAGGTAGATGGGCGCGTTGATTGGAGTACAGCACCTTGTCGCCCACCGTCAGCCGCAATCAGCCCCCACCTCACCGCACTCAACCCATCTTCACCGCACTCAACCGCACTGACCGGCTCGTTGATGGGGCCGAAGATCTCCTCGACCTTGCCGATCTGCGTCTTGTTCTCGAGGTAGATGGGCGCGTTGAAGTACGGCACCTTCTCTCCCACCGTCAGCCGCGTCACCGCCTCGCCCTCGCACGCGTGCATGAACGTCGACACCTCTGCACGCGCGACGCACGGGAGGTGCGCACGGGGAGTGAGCGTCATGCACGGGGGCACAGAGGATAAGGGCGCAGACGAGACGAAGCGAACAGGGCCACATCACCTCCCGCAATAAACACTGTAATCAGACCTCGCCCGCAATCGCCTCTTTACACTTTCTTCGTGGCCCACCACCATAAACCGCCGCCACGAGCGATTCTAAGACGACCCAGCCAACTCTCTGACTATTCGTTCCCTACATTCCCCTCGTCGCCCCTCGCCGTTCCTCGCCCCACCCAAACAGGTCGCTGCTTACCCACAACGTGGGACGGCGGCCCCTCATCCCGTTGAAAGCCGCCTCTTCCGCCGCCTCTTCCGCCGAAACCCCCGCCGCGACCTCCGAATCCTCCGCCGCCCCTCCCCCTGAAACCTCCGCCGCGCGGTGGCCGCATGATGCGCTGAGTTTAATTAAAGCGCCGAAAACGGGGACGGCGAAATGGGGACGTGCGATTCGAGCCAAGGCTTAAACCTCCCACCCGCAGCAAAATCGCAGAGAGACGGTCGTCGAAAAATGTGAATACTAAGCGCAGTTGCGGCAAAAGATATATAAGCTTATTCGTTAAGATTTCCCAATGGTGTCGCGCCGTGGAGGGGAGGCGCAGAGCAGGAACAGGAATAGGGCGGAAAGAGAGGTGCCTAATAGCGGTGGGGTAGGATATGGCGGCAGTTGGGCCAAGCAGAATGGAGAGTTTCGCTGCAAAGAAGACTGCTTGAACGGCTGAGAATCAAGATACACGTACAAATTAAAACATTCTTGATGTGCTGTATAGTATTACAACCTGATCATCCCTTTTGTTAGCCTGTCTGAAGCAGGGCCCACGTTATCAGTGTAAATCACCCTGATGCCCTGACTAGAAGGGTGATTTTTGGTAGTACCGTAACACTGCTGCCATTGGGTAATTCTTTCGGAACCTTGATTTACCCTGATGTGCCGGGTTTTAAGATTAAGGAACACTGTCGCCTCAGGGTTGCCGTTCCACTTATCGAGGTTTACCCTGAAGCGTGTACCAGCCCCCCCCCTCCCCCCCCCCCCCCCCCCCCCGTCACCTAACCACCCGACCCCGAAACCAGACGGCCGGCGAAAACAGTGGCTCTGCCGACCCCAGCGGAATGAAAAGGCAAGGAGAAAGTGCCAGAGCCATGTTAAGATAGTAGTTAGGAGGGAAGAATAGGAGTCATGCTAGGGTTTAGGCTAGGCATGACTATCGAGAGAGTTGGAGCAAGAAAAGGTGATTTCACTATGGAGCAAAGAGTACAAATAGAGAACAAAGAAGCAAGGAAAGGTGCACCACCAATGTAACACTACACTAACTACTGCTACAAGCAGTTTATATAAGAAATATATTTCAACACACCCCCTAAACTGCTTGCAGCAGGAAGCTAATGCAGAGACACCCCCTGAAGGGGTACACCAAGCGCAGTAGAAGCAGAGGGCAAGTGAAGAATGCGAGGAGGAGGAGGCGAGAGAGAGAGAGAGAGAGGAGAGGAGAGGGATGAGGAGTGGAGGTGGGGGGAGCCAAGCACGGCAAGCCCCTCTTACGAACCCCCGTTTTACGAAGGGGGGAGGGTGAGAGAGAGATGAGGAGCGGGGGTGGGGGGAGCCAAGCGCGGCAAGCCCCTCTTATGAACCCCCTTTTTACCAAGGGGGGGAGGGTGAGAGAGGGAGGAGAGGAGGTGGGGGGAGCCAAGCGCGGCGAGCCCCTCTTACGAACCCCCAAGTCCACACCCTCTTTCAGCCACCCCCCTCAACCTCACCCCCCTTGTCAACCGCCCCCTGGAACCTCACGCCTTCCCCCCACCCTTCCTCCAACGCCACCCCCTCGCCCTCCCCCCCCCCCCCCCCCCCACCCCAGGAGGGGCGACAGGAAGAGAGAGAGGAGGTGGGCTAACGCATGCTGGTCACCCCTGCCACCCCCTCACCCTCACCCTCCCCTGGGGCTGCTGCTGCAGAGCGGCGGCTGCTGCTGCTGCAGGCGCGGAGGCGGCAGCTGCTGCAGGCCTGGCGGCGGCTGCTGCTGTTGGGTGGCGGCGGCCGCTGCTGTAGGCTCTGGCGGCGCCCCGCGGGTCCTATACGGACGCCGCGACGAGCAGGGGCGACGCCTCGCAGGTCCCGCACGGACGTCGCGACGAGCAGGGGCGACGCCCCGCGGGTCCCGTAGGGTCGTCGCGACGAGTAGGGGTGATGCCCCGCGGGTCCCGCGCGGGCGTCGTGACGAGCAGCGGGGAGGGCAGCGCGCAAGCCCCCCCGAGGGCGCTTCGATGGACGGGAAAACCGCCGCGCGCCCCGAGCGCGCGGCGGGCAGAAAAAAGCCGCCACGCGCTCGGAGCGCGTGGCGGGAAGAAAATGCAGCGCCGCGCGCCACGGGGCGCGCGGCGGACAGTAGGGCAGCGGAAGACGTTGGTGGGGGGGCCCACAGGCCAGGAAGGAAAACGCTCTAATACCATGTTAAGATAGTAGTTAGGAGGGAAGAATAGGAGTCATGCTAGGGTTTAGGCTAGGCATGACTATCGAGAGAGTTGGAGCAAGAAAAGGTGATTTCACTATGGAGCAAAGAGTACAAATAGAGAACAAAGAAGCAAGGAAAGGTGCACCACCAATGTAACACTACACTAACTACTGCTACAAGCAGTTTATATAAGAAATATATTTCAACAAGCCAGAGGAGGACAGTGAGCACGAGCAACAACCGTGTGGCATGTCTGATGATGATGATTAAGCTTGTTATTGTGTGCTGTGTTAATAACAACTGAAACATGGTTTTGCGAATTGGTACACTGATGCCTCAGGGTAGTCGTTTTAATACATGCAAAAACCCTGGCGCATCAGGTTTTCCACAACGGGTAACCCTGAAAATCAGGTTTTTGAACAGGTGCTAGACTGATCGTAAGGGTTGGTCAAAACCAAAAATGAGCCCTGGTCTGAAGGTTATAATATATTTCACAAGAGGATGGCAAGAATGATCCATATGAAATGGATTTCAATAATAATTATTATTATTTCTATCATTAACCTAGGCTGATTTCGAATGGTTTTGCGTGTATATTCATGTGGCGCCTTAGATTTTAGGGTCACAATTGTACCGAACTACACCAGTGAAATATCTACACTAGACTCTGTTGCAAATATACGGTACCTGAAGTTCTCACAATTGCTCTTCACCGCATTGCACCCTGGTCATTGCAGTCATCATCCCACAGCGCCACGTTTGAATCCGCGAAAGTCCCCAAGGATTCTATAGATGGGCCTCGGGGTGGCGCGAATCCCGATCTGTGATATGCTTTTTCTATGGTGATTCTACGGACCATACCACACACCTGATCACAGTTCTCCATAAGCGTGTCGCACGGACGGCGCGTTCTTCGATCGCGGCCGCCGTTCGACTTAGCATCATTGACTCCTCGCGTCGAAAGAATCTAGAATTCTATGTTTGCGTGCTGGCTCGTAACGGTTCGTGAGCGCGGGTAACACCACGAAGGCGGCAGCAGCGTGATGGCGAACGATAGCGATAGGGAGGGTCAGACAGACACGGGCAGGGCGCTGCGGGTGGTGTCGCTGCTGGGAGCGGCGAGCGAGGTGATGGCGGCGCTAGGGCTGGCGCATCTGCTGGTGGGCCGGTCGCACGAGTGCAAGTTCCCGCCGTCGCTTCTCGCGCTGCCGTGCGTGTCGTCGCCCGCGCTGGGGCCGGATCTCGAGCAACAGAGCTGTGCGACGGTGCACGACAGGGTGAGTCGCAGAGCTGTGCGATTGCGACAAGAGGTTGAGCAGCGGGCAAGAGAAGGTGGCGTAGATATTTTCGAAAATGCATAGTGGAGTTTCATTCAACCACTAGCGTGAAATGACCGCATTTGCGTAGACAGGGTGGATCGCAGCCTCCCCCCTCTCCCCTCTCCCTTTTCCCCCTTGCGTAAAACCGAATCGCAGCTGTCGGAGCGCGTGCGCAAGGGCCTGTCGCGGTACCACGTGGACGTGGAGGCGATTCGGCGGTTGCAGCCGGATGTGATTATAACGCAGGACGCGTGCGACGTGTGCGCCGTGACTGCATCGGACCTCCAGGCGGCGTGCGCGGAGTACTTCGCGCAGCGCGACGACGCGGGGCGCGCGTGCCACGTGGTGTCGCTGCGACCAATGAGCGCGTCCGACGTGTGGGACAACATGCTTCAGATCGCCACGGCGATCGGGCACAGCGACAAGGGCCGCGCGCTTGTGGAAGATTTACAGGCGCGCTGGGCGCGCGTGCGCGCGCAGGTTCCGCGGGGCGCGGAGGGGGCGTGCGCGCGCCCGCGTGTGGTGTGCCTGCAGTGGGTGCGGCCGCTGATGGGCGCGGGGTACTGGGTGCCCGAGATCGTCGCGTGCGCTGGCGGGGAGAGCCTCTCGGGGAAGGTGAGACTCGGGGAGGTTGCATGGGGGGAAGGTTTATGGGAAACATGTGAAGCGGTATGAGAAAGGCAAGGGACTGGGGGGAGTGGGAAACACGGCCATTCTTTTTCCCGTGCGCTCTTGGTGTGCCTGCGATGACTGCAGCCTTCCCTCCTCCCCCCCTTCCACCCTTGAATGCCATTTCTCCATCGGCCCACACCGTTTTCCGTTCCCTACCATTCACTTCCTTTCTCTCAGCCCAACCCCCCTGTATTTGCCCCTTTGCCACCCACCCCCTTTTCCTACCCCTCCCCCCGCCCTTATCAGCCTGGGGAACGTACTGCAATACTCTCCTTTGAGGCCCTTGTCTCTCTCGATCCGGACGTAATCATCACCATGTGCTGCGGCCTTTCAAAAGAGGCCATTCTGAAGGAGCTCCTGACCTCTGAGGATTTGCCGCAGTGGAACCGGTTGAGAGCGGTGCAGAGGGATGCGGTGTTTGTGGCGGATGGGGACCGATACTTCAACAACTCAGGGCCCACCCTTGTTGAATCTGCTGAGATCATGCTGGAGATGCTGCATGCTCACCGCTTCCAACCACACAGAACCGCATCGAACCACTCCGATGGTGCGGTTGCCGCCGGTGCCCCTGGTGGTGCTGGTGCGGATGACACTACTCCTCTTCGCTCCTGCCTCCCCAGCTCCAATGCCAATGGCTTAGTGTGTCAAGAAGGAGAGAAGATCCCAGGGGTTGAGGTCAAGTATGAGGGGACGGCCTACACGCACCTGACAGGCGGGTGTGTGGAGGCTTGGCGCGCTTCCGTGGGATGGCAGGCCTGACCTGTAGGGAGGGGGCAATTTCTGTCATTGCTGCTGTGCTCTGGACCAAGAGCGTGTGACCATGGAGCCAGGGGGCGTGGGAGAAGAGCAGGGTGGAAGCTAGACCATCTCTCAGCAAGCTCGTTGTTAATGCAGCAAGAGTTCAGGGGTGCAGTATCGGGCGATGTTGCGTTAGCTGGGGTGTACGTGCAGAAT